GATCTTTTCCGCACCTGCGAGGTCGCAGATGCGGATAGGGAGCGCAGGCGCGGAGTTGGTGATTTAAGTGATTTTCCGTAGGTGCGGAGGTTTTTGCGCAAATGCGGCACCGCAGGTGCGAATTCTGAGTCGTAGGTGCGAAAAGCCTAGGCAGAAACTATAAATAGAAGATTTCGCGAATTTTTGTTCATTTCCACCATTTTCAAGTTGGTTCTTGGAGCTTTTGGAGTGACTTTGAAGGGGATTCAAGGTTTTTTCAGTTAGGTAAGTTGCTTGAGCTCTAATACTCTTAACTATGGTGTTTTTTCGTTATTTTATCCTCTAATTAGTGGAATTTGGGAGTGAAAATTGGGGATTAGGGCTTGGAATTTTGGAGAATGTAATTTGAGGGTTTGAAGGACCAAATGATGTCGGATTTTGATGAATTTCATATGGTTAGACTCGTGAGTGAATAGGCTTTTGAGTTTTGTAACTTTTATCGGATTTCGAGACGTGGGCCTGAGGGCCAGATTTGAGTCAATTTCAGATTTTTGGCTATAATTTGGTATTTTTCTTGTGGAATTAATTCCTTTAGTCCATATTGATCGTATTGTATTACTTGTGGCTAGATTCGGGATGTTCAGAGGCCGAATTGAGAGGCAAAGGTATTCCGGAGTAGGACTTTGCTTGATTTGAGGTAAGTAACGCTTTCAAACTTGGTTTTGAGGGTTCGAAACCCCAAGTTATGTGTTATGTGATTGGTATTGAGGTGACGCACATGCCAAGTGACGGGCGTGCGGGCATGCACCATGACAATTATGACCTGGTGATTCCACGACACCGTTTAGTGACTTTATCCTGTTGATATCCATATTTTCATCAGGTGATAAAGTAGTTGAGCTGTAGATTGTGCTAGACATCATGTTTAGGCTTTGTGCCGGTATTGGTTGGGTCCTTAGCGGTCGTTTCTTGCTGTCATCTCACTAATTTCATTTACTATTTCATACTCAGTCATGACCATACATTTTTATATCATACATCGGTCTCAGTTATTTATTAATTTATCATATTATTGTTCCGGGTTGTTTTCATGACATTGTGGGCCCGTGGTGAGAATGGAGAGGTTGATGATTGAGTAAGGCCGAGTGCCTGGTTATGAGTAATAGTTATGGGATCGGGCTGCACGCCGCAGTGGTTATATTGATGATTATGATAACGCTTGAGATGTAGGAGCCCCTCCGGAGTCTGTAACACACGCCTAGTGAGCGCGATTGATATTATTGAGGGATGGATCTTTCTTGGACATGGATCTTATCTCAAGTACTTGATACCCGGAGATGGATCTTCTACACAGGGCTGGATTGGCCTTCCTCGGTACTGGGTGACTTATAGTCAGTGATGTATATGTTCTGGGATGGATCTTCCCGGGCCGTATGGGCCATATACAGTACCGAGTGGTTGGGCATTCGAGAGTGTGAGCACATGAGGCTGACAGCATGGTGCATCACATACAGCATGTGCATTGGCATGTAGAGATAGCAGAATTATATTCTTTACACTGTTCGGATCTGTCTCACTTTACTGTTTTGAGTTGCCTATTTAATTTGGAAGCATGCCTACGTTTCTGTTCAGTTATTTCTATTTTGTCTGTATCGGTTAAGTTCGTCACTACCTTTCAGTCCAAAGTTTGGACTTGTTACTTACTGAGTTTGATGTACTCACGTTACTCCCTGCACCTCGTGTACAGATCCAAGCATTTTTTGTCACGGCGGTGGTTGCTGATTGCGGCTTCAGAATTCGGAGACTACCAAGGTAGTTGCATGGTGTTCGCAAGCCTTGACTCTCCTCCTTTATCACCAGTTGTATTTTCAGTTTATTTCTCTAGACACTATAGTGGACTGTATTCTAAAGTAGACGCTCATGTATTCAATGACACCCTGGTTTTGGGCTGGATTGTATCACTTTGGGATTTTCATATGTTTTAAACAGTTTTTCTTTAATGTTAAATGCTTCCGTTAACGTTTTCAAACTTATTGTTGTTAGAGTTAGGTTATTGAGTTGAGGATGGCCTAGTTCCACGATAGGCGCCATCACGACGGTTGATTTTGGGGTCGTGACACTGGTGACCAAAGCAGATGCCTCTACTCAATTGGTTAGAGTTTTGTGTTGATAACATGTTATAAAACAATAAAAGAAGAAGAAGTAGAGTATTGAAGAGAAAAATAGAGTGAGAATTCTTATTAATTTGGGATTAATTACAATAGAATAAAACCCCTCTATTTATAGAAAAAAAGTAACTTAGCCACAAAGTGACAAACCCTAAAATCTCTCTAAAATATAGACATTCAACTTAAATATAATTCTATTTATAACAATTATTGCTTTGATTGTTTTATTTTTCTCTGTAGATATGAGTTGTAAGTTTGTCCAGCCTCACGGACCAGTACAAACCAACACTTTAAGCCAGCAGCCTAATTGAGATTAAATTGAAAAGTCTCGTTTTAAATGGATCGAAATAATGCTAATTTAACCCCGCTCAACTAGTGAAATGTATCGAGTTAGCATCACCAGATAAGTCCATTTCGACGGTTTTAAATGCTTTTAGTTTTATGGAAAATTAATAAATGACCGTTCATTCACCCGTATAAACTAAAATTAGCATGAAAATTTATTGTTGAATTTTTAATAAGGTGTGAATGAAAAAAAATACTTTTTGGGTGTCACCTCTTCATCTCACACTTTCATTGCTTATAAATTAGGATGTTTGTCCTCATTTGTATTATTTTTTGAAAATAAATATAAATGCCAAGCGTAATTTGTTACGTTTATTGAGTTCGATGCAATTTTGTAATTTTTATTACCAATACTACAAATGTTCCGTTTATTTTATTGCTTTATTTATTGAACTAACATTTTATCGTTTCTCTGATTTTCTGATTTTAAACACAAATAATTTAATGGATCTTGGTTGACAGACAACAGATGTCTCAAGTCGCAACCCTTCCCGCGCCCCTACAAGTTACATTATCAAACAAACACGTGGATAACTTAACCATGAAGAGAATGGTAATGGACCAATAATGTAGGCTACCACATTGACTCCCGTTTATCTATTTTTCTTGTGGTACCCATTGAAACCGAGCCACCGAATCAACCAAAAAGGAAAAACACAGAGAGATAGAGAACTGCCAAACTTGCCGGATCAACTAATATCTTTTGATAAATTAGGCTTTCTCAAATGCTACTTCCACCCACAATCGTTAGGTTCTGGATTCGAGTCACGCTGGAGAGATAACAATCTGGATTCGAGTCACGCTGGAAAAAATGTATGAAAACACTAAAAATCCTCTTAATTATGAGGGATTGAAAAATATATATATATAATATAAAAAAAAATATCTTTTGAAATTTCTTTTGCCAAAATATTTGACCATTTTACAGAATTTCATATAAACAGAGCTCAACTTAATTAGCACTAGATAATTAATTCTGCACTATCGTATCTCCCTTAATTGTCTATTATTATAGCTACGGCAATCAAATGGAACAAATTTGTAGTCATATATAGTTGGAGAGACATGTTTGTTAACCTCAAAACTCGCAATTTTGTTAGGAATGTGTTTATCTAGTTTTGAAGCAAAAACATGCTCCTTTAGCAAACCAACTAGCTAGCAGCTACTTGTTTCCCAAATTCTAAATGCCTTTTGCCCTATCCAGTTGTCTGGCTTTATCAAAGCAAACAACGAAGACTAGTGATGTACACATTCTATATACATATTATGTGAAAAAGAAAGATAGAGATAAATTAACGAAAATCCAAAAGAAGAAATGAGGGAAGGGTAAGTAATTAAAGANTATATATATATATATATATATATGAGTTAAATATGTTCGACGCACTAATAATGTCAAGAATTTTACTATCAGATTAAGTTGATCAGAATATAATAACAAATAGTTCTTTGTAGCAATCTAATATAGTAAGTTGAAAAAAATAGAGTAATAACATGTCGTAATTAAATACATAATTAAATATAATATTAAGTATCAAACTATAGATTTATTATTTATTCTCCCCGTTTGTCGTTAGTGCGGCTGGCAGATGGAAAGCAGGAAAGATCAAGGAAACTGAGGTTTTACGGAGTAACAAGGAGTAGTCCTCCTTTTCCTTTTCTTCAACATTTCTCGCTACTCATTATCACACCAAATAAGATAAGCAATACGGTAATTCACATAGAGCAGGTGAAATTCACGCGTCAATTGGTTTTGTGACTCTTAAAAATTTGTTTTTAGTTTTATGACTTTATCCCTTGTTTTACACATGAAAAATTTTCTTTTATTTGTAAAAGATCTGTCATATACACATAAAAAATCTAAAAAAATTATTTTCTTAATTTTAAATTTGTAAAGGGACAATGATATAAAATAACACGAAATTCACTCATCAGCTATTACATTATTTTCGGCAGCACTATTTGTAAGTTGTGTAATTAATATGGTTCTGTCCTTATCTTTTTTCTTCTTAAGATTATACTATCCTGAACAGTCAACAGTCAGTACTCAGTAATTATTTCTTCAACAAAGGAACACCCCTTGCCTTGGCGTCGTTACAACAGTGGGATATTAATTGCACCTGACTTGACCTAGATTTGATTCAGTAACTGTTAGCACTGTATTGTTGTAAAATGGCTGAATGAACTCCGAAGAGTGAAGGACAAATGATTCACACTGCAGTACGTGTACGTACACATAGCAAATTATTAAAATTTTCTTTTAGTTTCTTTTTCGGATTAAAAGGGGTTCCCATGAAATAACTACTAAAATTGTTTTCGTTTAGTCAGAAAATCACGGGTTCGAAATAGCCTCTCGTAGAAATACATGGCAGTACTACATACAATACACCTTTGTGGCAGGGTGATTTCCGGAATTCATAGTGCATACCTTTTTTTCTTTTTTGAATTAAAAACAAATTTGCTATTGGTGGAAAGGTGCCTGAAAAAAGCTAGAAAGGGGGAAAAAAGAATCCTCAACGCCCCCAACATATAGTACTCTAGAGCCATGAGCTCTCTTGGGAGGAAAAAAAAACAAAAAACACCAAAAAAACAAACGGACCTTCCCAAATTTAAGAACAGAAATTGGCTGAACAACATAGAATAATTCTTCAAAAGGAAAGCTCAAATGGTGAAATCAACAAAAATGAGTGTTATTCGGGAAAAATCAAAGAGGGTAATTTCAAGATGATGATGAGGGAAGTAGAATTAGGATCATCAAGTAGTAGGTGCCAAGATTGTGGAAATCAAGCTAAAAAAGATTGCACATATTTGAGGTGCAGAACTTGCTGTAAGAGCCGAGGGTTTCATTGCCAAACGCACGTTAAGAGCACTTGGGCCCCTGTATCCACAAGGCGTCCACGGCACCATCTTCACCAGCAGCTTTCCACTATTCAACAACAGCAATATCAGCTTCAAGCTGGGCCAAACCCTAATAAAAGATACAGAGAAAATCATGAAATTCAAGGTGCACTTCTAGTACTCTACTGTTGCCCCTTTTTTGTTGCTTATTTGTGCAGACAACATTTGAAACTCAAACACGGCGTAGGGCTCATACTCTTCTGTTGTCATCACAGACAATCTTTGATTACATAGTACATATATAGATCTCACACACTCATTGCATTTTGCTTGCCTCTTTTAAATCTACTATAGCTATGAACAGAAACTATGAAACCCTAGCTATTTGCTGCTTTCTTTTTATGCAGTACTATACCATGCTCACTAGCAGTCAGTGAATTTTCGTTTTATTTTTAGTTGTTAAATATAGCATGTTAATTAGCCACATGAAAGCTCCATGAGTTGGCAAAAGTGTTACACAATTAATTAGATCACTAATTATAAGCTAAAAGGGCAAATTCCTATGATAAGTATTAGAGTGGTCGGTAACCTATAAAAAATAGTAATTTCTACCTATGATTTAAACTAATTAAACCAATGGTGTAAAATAATTTCACACAGTTTACATAACCAACAAGCTAAGCACTAAAAAGAAAAAAGAAAGAAAAAAAAGGAAAAGACTGGTAAGCTATTTTATTTAATTATTATTTGTTGTTATATATATATATATATAGGTGAAGAAGGAGGTGATTTTCCGGGGGAAGTGAGTTTTCCAGCAGTATTTCGATGTATTCGCGTAAGTTCAATTGACAATGTGGTGGATCAGTATGCTTATCAGACATCGGTAAACATAGCAGGACATGTTTTTAAAGGGATATTATATGATCAAGGACCTGAGAATCGTTACAATAATATGGCCGCTGGGGAAAGCAGCTCCTTTCAGCAGCAGCAACCTCCTAATTTACTTACTGCTGCTACCACTAGTACAACTACAGCTCCTTCTTATCCCAATCCTTTTAGTGCTTTGATGCCTGGTACGCAATTTATTCAATACCCAAAATCATCTTGAAGCAAACTTAATTTTAACTTATAGTGTACACAAATAGTGTAAATTATGCTTATTAGTGTATTTAATAGGCATGTATTCTACGTCAATTTTTAGATTAAATAATTTCACTTATTATGGTTATAACCTATATTTACTTTTATCCTTTAAGTAATTAATGTGATACAGTCAAACATAACATATATTATAACAGCCTAATTTGCTCCGAATATTTTTGGATGTTATAGCAAAGTGTTGTTATTGAGAACATATATTATAAAATAACATGAAAATTGGTTCCGGAAAAGCTTTGCTTTTATAGATAAGTGTTGTTATATAGGGAGGTTTGACTATACCGTTTGTTACGTTGTCCATATATAGAAGTTAATTAATCTCCTCTTTTATGTCTCAGCATTTGGTTTTGAGCAGTGCAAAGGTAAAAAACAATGCACTTTGAACATTGAACAAGAATGAAAATTAAATTACTAATTCCAATTATTGTATGGATAGGGTTGTATGTAGGAGTATCTTTTACTCCTATCTTTTAAGTAATTTGATAACATGAAAGATCTCTTTTATCTCTAGGTATTTTGTCATGTGTAGTGCAAGGGTAAAAGTTAAAGAAATGTACATTGAACATTGAACAAAAGGGAAAGAGAAGAAAAAGGTTAAAAAGGGATTTCCAGAGAAAAAAGAGGAGTAGTTTTTGTTTCGAACTTCAACGAAGAATTATTGGTCTTTCCTCTGCAAATTTAATATCGTTCCGTGTTAGCATATATTTGGTTCTGCTTCTGCAGTTTGTCTTATCATGGATTTCCCTCATCCCCATTGTTTTTTCTTTGTTTATGGGAATTAATTATGTCGGATTATAATCAACATCGAAGCCACTTTCTCTTTATTACTCGTTTATTTGCCGGCCCAACATGCATGTATCCATTTTGATGGACAGAAAAACAATTAAATGATAACCCTTGAATCATTTTTTAACGAGTTATAAATACTTTTACACCCACAAATCACTTAAAAGATATCTATACATGAAATTATGCTATCAATACATATAAATTAAATCTTATTTTTAATATATTTAGGGTGTTTTAGACTTTTAGTGACTTCATCCTCCCCCAATGACCAACCAAAAGCCAACGTGGGGAAGGTCCCTTTCTTGATTTCTTTTGGATTTGATCACATAAGGAAATCATGCAAGAAAGTAGGCAGTGATGCTTACCCACCACAGTTGTCCCCTTGTTGCACGTAAAAAGTTCAACACTAGCTCCAAGTCGTCAATAATCTAATTACAGCCTTTTAGATCCTTGCATCTGTTCGTGTTTTCTGGCATTATAATCACATAGATGCGAGGTTACACAAAGAAAAAAACTCGTTTTAGTGTTATACTGTGGTACAATATTTAATTTCTCATTGGGAGTTGTCAACACAAATATGTACCACTGTCTTTATACGTCTTCCCTAGTTAATTACGCGTAATGCTTTGTGACCATCTTATTAGAATTATTGATTAGTGGTATGTTTTTAAAAATTTTAAAGCATTTCTATGACATTATAACCTTAGCTATTTAAGTATCTCGTTTGGAGCTTTTGTCCTAGAGCAAATTAAAGGAGAGTAGTGATATCACACCAAATAGAGTTTTTCCTGCAATTAATAATGATTAAGAAAGCATTCGATAATAAGCAAGTCTTAGACATTGATCATTGCAGCACTTTGGACATGAAAGGGAATCTCTGATTAATATAAGGGAGGACGACCCTCAATATGATTACTTAATTAAATAAGTATCTTGAAGCAAAAAAAGATTGGGTGGGCATCTTGTATGTTAGATGATAGTGACTTGAGCTATAAAAAAGCAGCTATATAGTAACATGTTTAACCTTTTATACTAAAGAGATATTCACACACTAACCAAAGGAAAAGGTTGATGCCCCCATCAATGACATAATGTTGGAATATATCCCTCTAGTAGTACTGAGAAAAGAAACTAAATTAAAAACCTGCAGGAAAAGGTATATCAGCCCCTTCATAAATTAAAACATATATGTATGTAGCAAAATGTCTTGTGTTGTGTGTATATATATTGAAATGTACGACTGTCTCCTCACGATTAAGTGTTTAGCTCATGAAAAAAGAATAAGGTCGGCACATATGATGGACTTGTCTAAACATAATATAATTAAATAATTAAAAATATATTACTTATAATATAACGAACATCTTAAACTTTTAGACGCTTGCCACATATATTTCAACATAATGTAGATATAACAATCCATGCTAAGAAATCCTGAGAGTGCATTCCCACTCACGCCTAACTTCTAGATGACTTTCCCATTTAGTTCTCTTAAAGAACCTCCTTTTAAGGAAGCTATAACTTCTTTTGGAAGGGGGATCCAAGCAATTCCCCCCCCCCCCCC